TCGCGCGAACGATTCTAAATTGCTCAAAGGAGTTTTTACGTTACGAATGCTCTTTTAAGTTAATGAGGATGTTACTCGGTTACGCGGTTATAAAATCGCGGACTAAAATGAGCTCTCATGGATTGTCCGTGGCGCAGTGACATAAATAGGTATACTAAATTGACAAAATGTAAAGGCGGACTGTCAATAGAGCGATTCTGAGCAGTTTAACGGAGCGTGTTACGCGCGTCTGCGCCACGGTAGAAATCAGATCGATAATTTCTTATCTCCGGATGGAAGCTACGTCCTTCGCGAACTTATCGACGTGCTGGAACTTTAGTCGTTAAGGAATTCCTTCTGGTTCATTGACTTACCCGTAATTGATACGAATAACCGAAAAGCTTTCTGTTGCCCCGTAGAAGCCGATCCCCGCTCGGCGGAGAACTGTCGATGTGTCGGCGCGCATCGCGAGAATTGAGAGCGAAGCGTGTATCATCTCGCGAAGGCAGATTATTTATTGTTCGATATTTGATCGATGACGATGCGACATCGGTATGCATTGGGGTTGACCCTTCGAAAAACACCCTCTTTCGCAGTACAGATAGTGCCAGCGCTGCCGGCGTAAGAAGTAAATCACAAAAATGGAAATCCACGATATCGGATTGGAATCAATATTGAATGCAGATTGAATCCCAGGCTCTCTCACTCTTTTCCCCCTTTTTTCCCTCCGCACGTCTCCAACCGTGCGAGGCCGCGGCGGCGGCAGGGCGAAAAGGTGCGGAGTGACGGCTTCCATTAGGAAAAAGTGACTTACGGCGCCGATCGACAACGAAAGGCACTTTTCGTCCTGCTGAAATGTCAGGTCAGTTCGCGAAAATTTTATGCGTAACGAAGGTTACCACCTGACATGACTACGAATCGGGGATGTAAACGTCATCCGGCGCTAAAGGGACAATATGAAGCCGGTGTTGATCGTACGTCATCTCTTTATGAATTTATCATGAGTACCTTCGCTCTTCGTACACCACTCACGTTTCGATCGTACCATCGAGCTCTTCTTCATAGTTTCTCTTAAAGCGTGTCAGTTGAATAAAAAGATCCGATATAGGGAAAGGAAAGTTTCGAAAAAGCACAAAGATTTTTATAAATTTATTTGACGCAAATAATAAAACGTATTAAATTTGTTCTCTCCCTCGGCCGCACCGTGACAGTATATGTGGCGCGTGATCAGGAGAACCTGAGGGGATCCTGTCTCTTAACGGTCCAATGCCCGGCATTACTATTTGATGAGATAAAAAGCGCCGCGGTGGCCTCGACTCGTGAATTTTTAAAGGAGCCTCGCAGGTACCGTTACGTTCCTCGAGTTTCCGAGGTTAGGGGGTGTCGATACCCTGGGGGATGCCACAGTAGTCTTCTGTCTTTAATATTTTAGCACGGTAAATTATACGATTCCTCATTCCCCCTCTGTGCATACGTTGATCTTTCACTTTCTCCATCTCCCTCATCCTCTGACGTAAGAAGACTCTGGTAAGAACTTTGATCCGCGTAAATGTTTTTTTATTTGTCGTCAGAAAGAAAAATCATGAAATATATACGCATACTTTTTATTATTATTTAAGTAAGCAGATAGCGTATCTAATATCATTCCTAGAGATGATAGTGGAAAATCGTAACATTTTTATTAAAGTAAATTAGAAGATTAATTTAGTGATTCACATAATATCTCTCGGAATGAGTTATGCTTGAAAATAATTACAACCCGCTTGCGTGTTTTCAACGCTACGTTTATAATCGCCCGGCGCCAGTATCATTGGAAGCTGCAGTAAGCTGAAAAGGCGAAAATCAGCAGCGGCATCGACAAAGGCAGAGACACGCGAATGGTATAGCACGTCTTCGTTTCGAGGAAGCTAATCATCTGCAAGCCGTCTCTGGTCATACTGCAGAAATGCATACGCACGCACAGACAGAAATTTTCAACCCGCATGAATCGCGACGATGATTAAGCGCGGAGTATAATGAAGAAAGAAAAGGACGGGCGGGCGAACGAACGAGTACACGAGCGATGACAACTTTTGGACGTTTCTTTGTCGCGCGATACCGTCACCTCTTGCCAAGAATTTAATCAATCCGACTCGAATACCGAAAGTCTGAAACTCGTCTACTCCAGTGTAAGCCTTCCAACGAAAGAAGCGAATAAGAGAGGCTTCCACGCATGACGAATATAAAGAATTGAATGCAGCCGAAATGGGAGTGCAGCCGTAAACATCGTTCAGAGACGACGTCTTTTTCTTGAGATAGTTTCAAGATAATATTCTCGGAACTTCGATGTTATTTGGTTGATCGATCTATATAAATTTTCCAACCAATATCGAAATTCTTGAAAATATACACTCCCGTACTTCCTAGTTCGAAGTAATAACAGAACGGATGCGTTAATGACAAGGGGGTAATATGACATCTAGACCCTGTCGCAGGAATGATAGGGGAAAATCCGCGACAGTCAGATTCCCGGAGTTTAGAGAGTAGGGGCACCACCGGCAGGCGAGAGGTGATGGGAGATATTTCTGTTTAATAGTCGGCGTATCACGCCGGTAATGGAAGTCGAGGCGTTTGCATGCCGGGAGGCACGCTCTGGCGCTATAAAGTTAATGACGTCGTAGGCGGCGCGATAAAATGATGCATCGCGGCTTCGGGCTTGGCGACAATATTATTGCCGACAGCTGCATCTACGTGTACTCTTCTAGATCTCTAGCGTCCGAATTGGTAACTCACGAAGGAACGCGCGTGCATACGTGTTTTTTTTATCCCAATCGTAGTATCTCACTCGAATTGGATAAGGATTAAGATGCTGACGAGCATGTTTTACGATTTTGACGAGATCACGCCACGTAAGATCGCTGTTGACGACATAACGTCAGTTACAATGTTTAATTAGAAGCGAATGCATGTAATCCACATACTCGAATTCAAAATCCTGGGCTTTAAAAGTAGACGTTGTTGTGCAATGTTAGTGTATTCTGTGGAAGAACGCGAGGCCTGGAAGCTTTCTCTCTTTCTATCTCTTCGTCCCTGCTGCAAGATTCTCCATCCGCCGACTGCCTTTCGCTATTTCTCGCCGTCTTCGTGCTCTCATCTCCGTGCCGAGCTTACAGACGGATTGTAATGATTAGTATAACGAGGAGATCCGCGGGAGGGGCTTATGGGTAAGCGCGGATACCGGGAATTGCTCTGCTTTTAATTACCGCCGAGCTACTGGCTGTGTACACCGACGCCTTAATGCACTGCGGTGCTTAACGAGTAATACATCGTTATCAACGCCCATGCGGACGACGGAGGAAGATTCGGATCGTTAAATAATTTTAACGGTTCTCCAAGGTGAACGTTTGTCTCGCATTCGGGCCAATCCCGTCTTCTCGAGCGACGGTGAAAGACGGTAGCCTGATCGAATACCGATCGATGGAGGCTCGGCAAATCAAGGAGAATAATACAGGCGCGAGTCAGACGGAATAAGGTGGCTCGCGAATAGCCCATTATCACCGTTCTATTATTCCGCGTGTAACGTACACGCTCATCGGAAACTCCGAGTCGAAGTTACCGCATGAGGAGCGCGATTACTTGAGCGGAGTTAGACGCGTCTCGCTGTTTGTAAGTGGATTATGCTTATAATGGGGCATTCCAAGTCCGTTCCGAATATTGCGACCGTGTATATACCGTGTATATACGCCGTAACGCCGAGGTAAATCATGTTCGTATCCACTTCAACCGCGTCGCCTGGATTCTCGCCAACGTACATCCTATCCGACAAATTGTGCATAGGATGTGACTTTCGGAGTTCAGCGAGTCGTATGTAGAAACAATATTGTATATTTATCCGCTCCGCAATGCGGAGATTTCAATGCGTTACGGTTGGCGCGCGGAGTTCATTCGCTTTGGAGTGTAAAATTGCGAACGACGCTACATACGACGTCTCCAGTTTACTACTCGCGATGCAGTACCAACTCGGAGTATCTCCCGAGAACGGGAATGAATTACAGATCCTGATTGTGCCTCGTAGAATCTGTTATGATTCAACGTCCGTCGTCTACTCTCGTCTGTCTCCACTCGTTCAGCGTTCGTCGCGACGCGGGGCGATTCTTTTGGTAATTTATTGGTCGTAGATCAACGTCGGGGAACGCTGTTTCGACTCACCCGTACGTACGGCCGGGACAATGTCGAGCATCGACGCCATTTCTGGCCGTGACACTCCCGTGGAGCGGCACGCGATGTCCACAGGAGATCGATCGTTAGGTCCGACGCGTTTCGGACGATTGACCTTGCAAACGAACCACTTCCTACGCCATGACCGTGTTCTACCGAGACACACACAGAACGCACCGCAATGTTGGGGACAAGATCGTTGCACAGCGTGACAACAAGCACACATTTGCGAAACTCATTCTTCTTAAATGTTTTCACGTAAAAACATGGGTTACATTCCGGAATAATGTAAAGAACCTTGCTATTATGAGAGAAAGTCGTATCTGGAGCAACCAGGGACGCATTTTAAGGTAAAAAGAAAGAGAAGTTTCGTTATTTTTTCTCACGTGAAGACTTTCTTTTGAAATCCCGAATATTGACCTTCTTCTGGCGCGTTTCTAACGCCTTTCCAGCCGCGTTACGAGAGGCTGCTGCGACACGGATGCAACACAGGGTTTGCAAAATGTGAAGTACGCACTTCTAACACTTCTCGTAAGGTCGAGCGACCGTCCGTAAGAAAGGACCACTTATAAAGAGAAGCAGTTCTACAGATTTCCCTCGAAAGATATATAATATATAATTATGGGATCGCTTCCGGCGACATAGAATTTTTCTTGTCTTTCAAACATAAAATATTCGAGTTTTTCGGACACTTTCGCAAATATATCACGACAAATGCCATACGCACGTAACGGATGGTCTCCCAAGTTTTCCCATAATTTTTATTTTAATTTACAATGCGGCATAATTTATGTGACATAATTTATGTTTTACCTTTGTTGCAGAGAGATGCTCTAAATCTGGAACCCAGCAACGTGGCAAATTGTGTATCGAAAGGCAAATCAGAGGTAGGTTTCTTTTCTCATAGTTTGGTTCGCGCTCTGTTTCGCACCACGCGCAGTCTTTGAGACGAGTTTTAATTCCGGTACCGACAAACTGGCCCGAGTGCGCCCCGAAACAAGAACGCCAAAGAATTGTGATTGCGGAAAAAGACGTAATGTCGAGGAGAAAAAAGATCCCAAACGGCCGACGTGATGTAAAATAAAAGAACCTGTTTCTTTGAAGGCGCGCAACGGTGAAACGAAAGACGCAAGCTTGCTTTTTAATAGACACTGCAGCGGCGTCACTCGGTGATTCCGAAAGAAAATGTATCTCATTTGTATCTTTAGCGCAAAGGGGTCTTACCGTAAGGCATTCTCCTTTCCGAATAATCTGTAATAGCTTCTATCTTAATTTATGAACTAATTATATACAAGTATATTTAAAATTCCGTTAGATAATCTCTTTCTTTATTTCATCTACTTTAATCAGATAAATTTTAATAAACCTTAGCATAAAAATATTGCAACGTCGAGAGGAGTCTAACACGTGATGAGTTTTTCCCAAATTGCCGTCATCGTATCTCGGTCGAAAATTAAAGTTAACCATGGAACTCTGATTTTTTAACGCACGTCCATTTTTATTCATACCTCGAAATCGCGGTACCGCGGCCACAACGATAAAACGAGCACGATCGCGTTCTGCCTCGTAGACACGCGCGCGCGAGCGCGCGCTTATCACAGCTTCATTTGTATGCACCGTGTACGCGTCGTCGTCGAGGTGTAAGGTCCACGCAAATATTCCCTACGTGACGACAAAGCCAATTCATTTCCTGTGCGCCGATTCGCCGCGAAATACGCGCACGACGTGATCGACCGCGACGATTCTGCCGCGCACGCGACACGATCTTTCGCTTTTCCGAAGAGTTCGAAGGAAACGCGGTAGCGCATTGAACGACTCTACGCGTACTATGTACTATGCCTGCAACGATTTTCTCATCGTCAATGCACGTTGCACCATCGAATTTAATTTTCCCTCCGACTTTTCTCTTTCCAGCATTTCGACTGCCGAAATCATATAAGAGTGATACAGCCGATGGGAGACGGCAATCGGCTTTACATGTGCGGTACGAACGCGCACTCACCTAAGGATTGGGTTATTTACGTAAGTTTTCATGTTGTTTTTAATGTAGACAATATATAAAGCACGCATACGTAAGTAGGGAATTTAGTATTGCGTATCTTAAACACACATCTATTGATCATATCTTCATATCTTTAATAAAATATCGTGGTTCACCTAAATTGTCACTAAACTTTTCAAGTTACAATATGAGCAATTATTTTTATGTTTTTCAATAGTAGGATATTGAAACAAATCCTGCATTGCTTTCTCGCATCATTCAATTCTCTTTCCTTTTTATACCTTACGAATTGCAATGTATACTAAATAAATTCGTTAAATTTGATTTTGTAATACGCGACAGTTTGTGATTGGATTGCGAAATTGTTAAAAACGACGATTGGCCTGGTAAAGAGCTCGAAAAAAATGTACATGTATACGTTTAAACGTTCGCTGTCATTTGTTTATTGTAAATTGAAAATGCGAAACGATGTTAAATACATCCGCAACTTCCCTTGAAATGTATTACGGATTCAGCGTGATATGCGCAACGCACACCGATTTGTGTTGCTTTACGCTTAATTTAATTAATTAATAACAGAACGCGAGGAGGCATCTGAAAATAATATCGTTAATTAATTTTCGCGTTACGAATAAATTTCACCGCCACTCACGCATTCCTCGGTACGTTCCAATTTAATTCCCGTCGAAATATTTAAAGCCATATAATGAATAATGCTGTTATTAATGGAAATTTACATGCATTATCGCAATAGTACAAATCCGCACGATGTGATTTGCAAAGTTTCGCAAAGTGCATCAAAGCGGCCGGGCAGATGAATGAATCTTGCGCTTAAGTACCCGTGTAACAACACGACAAAAGATACAGCAGTTTCGCTTTGCTAAACATTACGAGTCCCGGGTGTACCGTAACATCTCGCGTAATAATAACATCCAGCCGCTTACCTAAGCTACTGTTGGAAGTTATAGCTACTAAATAAAGTTAAATTACATCAAGACGTTTACGTTCGGTACGAATTTTATAAATATAATAACATAAAAATATAATGACATTAAAATCTCAAATTTATTATAAAACATGCTCTAAGATTATCGTTATTTTTTTCATCCACCAATTCATTAATTATTTGGAAATCGATATTTTTAAAAATTTAATCAAACTTTATCTCGTTTTATAATTTTGTTATCTTCCATAAAGAGAGAAAACTTTTTTTTACTCATCCCTTTTGTTTCTTTAAGTCTTGTTATCCGCGTCTATCTAACCTCGACCCCCAATGATGTTTCTTTTTCCAGAGCAATCTGACTCACTTACCGCGCCACGAGTTTGTCCCGGGAGTGGGAATGGGTATCGCGAAGTGCCCTTATGACCCTGCGGACAATTCGACGGCGGTCTGGGTCGAGAAGGGCAATCCCGGAGACTTGCCAGCTCTTTATTCCGGCACGAACGCCGAGTTCACCAAAGCCGATACCGTAATCTTCCGCACGGATCTCTACAATCTGACTACCGGTCGCAAGGCGTTCAGCTTCAAGAGGACACTCAAGTACGACTCCAAGTGGCTCGACAGTGAGTACTCTTTTTGCAAACATGATCATTAGCTAAAAATTTAGTTAAATTTAACAGAATATCTATACTCTCTCATCGAATTGAAGATGATATTTAATGACTTTATAATTTTGGCATGTTTGAATCTTAATGGTATCTTTCGAGCGCGCGTAGTATTTTCTGTAATTACGTCTCCCCTATGTATGGATATCGATCGCTACGTCCACCATTGCCAGACATATTTAGATCTCCGCACTTCACAGAGGAACTTTTACTCGAAGCCAGATAATTACGGCGTGTCGAGGCAACAATGAAATTTCCATTAGGCTTAGAACGCATGGTATTAACGAGAAGAGGGGGACGTCCTTGATCGGCTAAAAAGCGAGACAGGTCTTCCTGAAGAAACCGCGTAGGAAGGGTGTGTTGCTTAGAAAATAGACAGGGGATGCTTTGAAGTAGGACCCTAGCGGCAAGCCAGGAACAGGCTTCGGGTTCAAATGGATGCGAATAAACTGCCCCGCCTATTTTCCAAGGGTACCATTGCCTTCCTCGCCGACGACGAGGACTCGCGCGAGGAAAAGCAAGGGAACGGAGACGGTGGGGGGGGGGGGTTACGAGTGGAATTATAGGAGTTTGGAGGGCGATGTCGACGCTAGGTTCGCTATCGGACCGGTTAGAGAGGGTGCCGGATCTCTTTTTCTCTCCCTTTCTCTACAAACGGGGTAATAAAATAACACCCCGACGCGATCTTCCTCTCGTCCTAAACGCTGCGTTCTCGACGAAAGTACCCTCTCCTTTTTCTCGAAAAAGGAGAGAAAGCGAGCCGACTGAAGAAGTTAAAGTTTTCCCGCCCGTCCGCGCCGGAAACCGTTCTCCCGCTCTACTCTCTCCTCGTCTCTCAGTCCCGCGTAGTTCGGAAGCCCGAGCTTTAATCAGTTTTACCGGCACTCTGATTCGTCGGCCGGGATTATTGCGATCCTCTCGATTTTTCGTTATCGGAGCGCGAACGTGAGAGGCGCGGCAAGAGCGGCCCGGCAAGGAAATTGGAAAATGTAGATTAGGACGTGCGTCGAATATAGACACACAATCCGACATGGAATTTAATAGCGTAACTCGCGGGAGGTAGGGCACTGCAGAACGCGCTGATTTGCGATGATCAAGTGTAAATAGAATCCGATTCGTTAGGTTCGTCGGTCGTGACGGGACACGAGGAATACGTCGAAAATTTAGTTATACGAGCGTTTAATATCGAAAATCCTACTCTATCTTTTGACTGTCTACGTTTTAAAATGATCGTCGAGCAAGTCCTGTTCCACAAATAGTTTACATTTCCCATTGAATATTATATTCGTTCGTTAGTTCAGCGGGTCAAATGCAAAGGAAATATAAATTCCTGTTGAACAAAACTTTTTGATTTATTAATTAACACGGTAAAAAAAATTACTTTTTTTCGGCCAAGAAGAAAACAAATTGCCCGGATAAGAATTAATTTTAAATTCCGTCCTTGTGCTACCGCAATCCTTTCGCAGCGAGCGTTCACGTGCGACATACCGGTTCGGAATAATGGCGCAAGACGGTTAGACGGCTGCTTTGTATTTCTCGAGGGGGCTGCTTCCGCTTTTCCTCACTCTGTCGAAGCGTGCCGCCACTCGAGCCCGCTCCTTCAGCCGCCGCGCCGCGCCGCGCCGTCGTCGGGTAGGAAGGTCGCGGTATCGGAGCGGCAAAAGCCGGAGGGAATGGGCGGACGACTTTGTCCCACTTTGTATCCTTCGCGCCCTCCCGCGGGACGCATGATTAGCCATTTGTTTCGTCGTTTAATTTCGAGCCAGCAGCCCTTTCGCTACTCTCTCCCTCTCTCCCTTCCCTTTTCCCTCTCTTTCGCTCTCTTGCTCTCTCGCTCTCTCGCTCATCTCTGCCTACTCCTCCGCCTCTGAAGCTGCCGGCAGCCACCTCCGTTCAGACCCTACAAGCAAGACTACTGAGCGTCACCATCAAGGACCATTCTCCGCATCGAGTTTGTCTATTAACAGAGGCGTTGATTAAAAGCAGGCGAGAGTCTGCGGAAGAGACGGATGGGCTCCACGCGCGCTCCTCGTATAATCTTCGCGACTCTCCGACCCTTCCTTCCCCTCGTTCTCCCTTCTTCGCTCACGGCCTCTCTCTTTCTCGCTTCTCCAGTCTACTCGGCGGCAAGGCAAGACGCAATGAAGACTGATGCGGTTCGTGGTGTGAGGTCATGATAAGGAAAAGCTCTGGCTTTGGCTCTGAGAGGGTAAATCGCGGACGGAAAGGGAGACGAAGAAAAATAGAGAGTAGAACGCAGTGGACTTAACAAGCTCTGAATAACTAGCTGACGAACGTCTACTTTCACGGATCCATGCGCGTGCGGAATGACGCTCGAACATTAGCGTACAACCGTCTTCCTTTCGAACATCCGTTACATTTAAAACGTGAAGTCTCTTTTCGTCGAGATATAACGAGGCGCTCTTCTTCTTCAAGTATAATAGCAATATAGCGGGCACTTTCAATATTCAAACTCTGTGTCGCACGACGCAATCAAAAGTCATCTCTCTATGAAACGCTTCGTCTCCTTTTCGGTAAATTATTTCTCTCCTTCTGTCTCGTGGCCCGTCTCCGTCTACACGGGCCTGTACCGCCCCAATATATCAAACTTCCGCCGTCGAAGCGTCAGACAATCGATTTAATCGCTGAACCGTGAGGGAGATTGCGGCGGTCTCCAGCCGAGTGCCGTCGCATAATGTAAAACCGACGAGAGAGGCCCGGCTTCGGCGACGGCGATGCGATTCGAACGTGAAAAAATTCGATTTTCTTCTCCATTTTCTCGCGTTACCAAATTCCGCGACTTCGTCGTTATACGGGATAAATCATTTTCTCGGTACAACAAGCAATTACACCAAGATTAAACCGCAACGCTTGCGCTGAGCTGCATTGCGAGTAACGCGAATATTCGCGCAATTTATTGGATGCATGTTGTAACTGGAACTAGTTTTTAACCAGACCACGAATATACGAAAATCAGCGAGACAAGTTGCAGCTGATTCGTAGTAAATTATTTCCAAGCGAGTTTGAGTGATAACTACGAGATGATATATTTCTCAACCGGGGCTTGACCCGGAATCGCTCGCCGTCTGTCGGAGCTCACAAATCGTTACGAAGTTGTTTCGGACTCTTTCTCCGCGCAACTTATCTCATTCGGAGATGATACCCAACTCTTATAACTCAACTACGCGAGGTGCAATGATAAAGCCGACTCAATAGCGCTTCTCACATCGTGCAACTTTTCTGGACTCTGATAAATTGCGATTTAATTTTAGTTATTTATGCATTTGATGAGACGAATTTTACGAAACTCATTACAAATTAATTTTGCGAACAAAATTGCAAAAACAATTTTTCATTGAATTAAATTTCTTTTCCAATTATCACGAAATGTATTCAAGGAACGCAATCAAAGCGCATTGTTTCTAATCTAGCTCTGTTATATAATCCCGTTTTTTACTCTCCCTTTCTCTCACTTCCTCATGAAACGGGCGCAAAATAATATCGTTGCGCTACGAACTTGCCTGCGGTTAAACTGAATTCGGGGGGAGATTATTGTCCACGTCTGAACGGAGCTGGAACAGTCCCAGCGATGAAAGTTTTTACGCATAGAACGAGCAAGGACATCTTCTCCCGCACCACCCTCGCGGCAAATACTCGATTATTCACGATTATTATTGTGCGCGATTATTGCGGAGTATCTACGCGAACTATCTGCTCTAAATGCAGTTATTTTGCTGTAGAATGAGGTAGACGCTAACGGCTAGATTACGCGAGCGTGGTAAGCTGGCCGGAATATATTACGCTCGAACAGTTTTCCGACTGCGAAATATCGTCTCGACGAGGAACCGTACGCGAAATTGCGAGTTAAAATGGATTTCGAGGCGCTCGAAAATATTAATTAGATTAATGATGAAGTAATGTTATGCCTCTTTATCTTTTCAGAGCCGAATTTCGTGGGTTCATACGACATCGGCAGCCACGTGTTCTTCTTTTTCCGCGAGACCGCGGTCGAATATATAAACTGCGGTAAAAGTGTATACTCCCGCGTGGCGAGAGTTTGCAAGAGGGACACTGGTGGTAAAAATATACTCGCGCAGAATTGGGCCACATACCTCAAGGCCAGATTGAATTGCTCGATACCTGGCGAGTTCCCGTTTTATTTCAACGAAATACGTGAGTATCGGTTGTACAACACAACACGAATTTTTGCGGCGTGACATTTTTTTGATAGCATAAATTACACTTATGTCTCTATCTTTTTTGCCACGCTTGATTCAGGATTTTTTAAAATATTAAAATAATGATAAAGATTTAGCATTATTTTTCTCTAATAAAAAATAAAAATGTCGATGTCTAATGATACAAAACCTCTGTCTTTGGCGAGAGAAAAACTATTCTCGCTGCTATTATGTGTGTTCACATTCTGACTGGTATATTCTGACATATAATTACATTATATGTTATAATTACATTATTGCGTTGCTCAGAGAGCATTTACAAGGTGCCGGGTGACGATACGCATTTCTACGGTACCTTCACCACATCGACCAACGGGCTAATGGGCTCCGCGATATGTTCCTTCCACATTGACGCCATCCAAGAGGCTTTCCGCGGAAAGTTCAAAGAGCAAGCGACTAGCAGTAGCGCGTGGCTACCGGTCCTGTCCAACAAGGTCCCGGAACCGCGCCCGGGCCAATGTGTCAACGACACTGAGACGTTGCCGGACACCGTCCTGAATTTCATAAGATCCCATCCGCTGATGGACTCCGCGATCTCGCACGAGAACGAGAAGCCGGTCTTCTACAAGCGGGACGTCATGCTCACGCGACTGGTCGTCGATAAGCTGCGCATCGACTTCGTGGGCATCGATCTGGATTATACAGTCTACTACGCCGGCTCTAGTAAGCAAACTATCGAATATCTGTCACGATGAATAGAAACGCGATCTGATAGCTATTGTTCCTCCGATAAAAATGCGTAAGCACGTGCCTCTTGTCGCGTGTTACAGGCGACGGCCGTGTTCACAAGGTTGTACAGTGGATCGACAGTAACGGCGAGTCCCAGTCGATCTTGCTGGATGTTTTCGACGTCACGCCGGGCGAACCGATACAGGCGATGGAGATCTCGAAGGAACATAAGGCTCTCTACGTGGCGTCGGATCATCGAATAAAGCAGATCGATCTTGTGATGTGCACTCGGCGGTACGACAACTGCCTCCGATGCGTCCACGATCCGTACTGCGGATGGGATAAGGACACAAACATGTGTAAACCCTACGAACCAGGGTAAGTTGTTCTCTCTCCGCAAACGCGATCGCAAAATTGCGAATACACACGCGGGGCGATTTATAGTCTCTGATTTTACGCAAGATGCATACATATTATATATAAAAAAAAAAATAAAGAATGAAACATATTCGATTTTCATCATAATTTACTCGCTTGATTACGAATTACGGCACGCAGATTTCGGCGCAGTAATATTTGCGCCGATTTTACGCATCGTATATTTCAGTTATCGCAGATTTATTTCTGCAGATTCATTTCCGTTTGGTGAAACAGAATACTTTTTACAAAAATAAAAAAAATAAAATGAAATAAAGGAAAAAAAATTGCAGCTGGCGAATCAAAATTCAATTTCGAAATATTTCGAAATAAAATCACTGCGACGTAAATGTTCGAGATTACGTTGTTTGCGACAGAATTCTCGAGCGTATAATCGTAATTTGTTTTTTGCTTTTCGCGCAGTCTTCTTCAAGACGTGTCGAACACCACGGCGGATGTGTGCGACAGCAGCGTCGGCAAACGGAAACTGGTAGTCACGTGGGGCCAGTCAGTGCATCTGGGATGCTTCGTGAAGATGCCGGAGGTGCTGGCGAACCAAGAGGTACGGTGGTACCATTACAGCAAAGAGAAGGGAAGGTATCAGATCGCGTACAAATACGGCGCCGGCGGCGACAAATTCATCGAGACCTCGGAGAAGGGTCTGGTGATCGTCGGCGTGAACGAGCAGGACGCCGGTAGATACGACTGCTGGCTCGGCGGTGCCCTCCTGTGCTCGTATAACATCACCGTGGACGCGCACAGATGTTCGGCACCCGCCAAGTCCAACGACTACCAGAAGATTTATTCGGACTGGTGTCACGAGTTCGAGAAGTACAAGTCAGCGATGAAGAGCTGGGAAAGAAAGCAAGCGGTAAGTCGATTCATCCTACTCGCTCCTCTTTCGGGATCGGTTTATATAGCGTCGACTGATATATTTCTTCAGATGCCGGGAGCATTTTTATACGCGAGCGAAATAACGTTGCCGTATATCTCAGATATTCATATCATCGTTCGTCATATACGTATAGGATCGTCATAAACCGTAATTGAGCCGTTCGAAAATTTGCATTGCAAAGCGATGTACAATTCAACGGGTTCTACGTATATTCATATCTTTATATGCATCGGAACGGATGGACGGAAATTAAATATTTATCACAAAATTGCGCGACGCGAGGTAGAGTTTATTGTGGGAAAACATACCCACGGGCGTATATCGATAATGTGTATCGATAAATATAATTGCATTTGATATAGCAGTAAATGAGAATTACTCTGTGATTGTTCAAAATTGTTCGTAATCTTTTATGTATTATGTAACGACAACTCTTAACGCGTATCGAAATACAATTTGCACGGCAAAATTATTAATGTGGCTAGTCCATTTTACGTTCGCTGTACATAAATATTTGCGCTTGTATCAAGTCGATCGTTAATATTTTATTATATATCATAATGAATTAATTCGTAAATAATCTCTTGTGATCTACATGAACATGCTGTAAAATCGATTGTGATCGGTTACGATATTTATTTATATTCATTTACGGCATCGCGCGAACCGATTTCATGCAGCAATCGTTGACATCCAATTTCGAACACGTGATACACGGTATACGAGGCAACATTTAATACAATACATCGGGGAATCGAGTTGCAACTCCCTTCACAGCCTCTCAATGCACAGGCACACGCTTTCTCTGTTGCAGCAATGCGCCTCGAGACAAAACGACAGCAATCAGAATCTACACACGAACGAGGTGTACGGCACGCCCCTCGTCTGATGGAGTCGATCGTTGGGTCCCTCGACGAGCCGAGATTACGATGACACGATGATACGCATAAGCGTCCCGCCGAGGAATCGCGGCTGGACGACGACCGGTTGGATCGGCCTGGCCTTCTTGTTGGCCGGTCACGCCACCGCACTCGGCCCGTTGGTTACTCGAGGACTCTTAAGTGACTGAGGCCGAGCTGCGATTCGCGAGCCGGTGAACTGAAAATCTAAAAAGGTGCGAAAAACGTACGCGTGATCGATCGTGCATACGAGAGCCTTTCGTCGGCGCTACCGATCGCGAGTGACCATCGAGTTTATTGGCGGTCGGTGACCCGCGAGAATATTCCAGTACCGTATTCGTTGTGCACTCGAGACTTTTCGATATATATATATATATATATATATATATATATATATATAATATCGTACTCGCTTCGCTGTAAATAGACGTGTCGCGCGTGAGCAGCGAAAATGAGACCGAACGCTGGATGCCGCGAGAAACCACGAGCGCGCGGGACAGCGGGACGATCCTCGGCTTGTAAATTCCGATACGGATGCGCAAACTGCGCAGAGTGATGTTACTCGGGGTGAACAGATGGATACCTTCTGTGCCGAAGAAACGTAGATAAAATTACGATTCCTCTCATACACCTGGACCGGTCGTTGCTGGAAGAGCTGAATGGAGAAACGCGCACTTCCCTTTCCTGGAACTTTTAATTAATTTACGAGATGGAGGGGAATATTATGTGTACATACGATATCGGAGCCTCATTTACGGAAGACGACGCGACGTTGATCGCGATATCATCGTGACCGAGATATCGATTACCAATAGGACGTCGATAGCGGTTAAGCGGTACGTCGAAAGGAGAAAGGCAGCGTTCTCCAGCAGTTGTTTTCGCATCTGCGACGAGCGAAGTCGAGGTGGAAGCTTCCCCGACAACGAGGGTGAGAGGCATCGATTGGAGAACCAGTCGCTACGGCTCGCACCCCGCGAGAGGCTGAGAGGAAGCGGCGGTGGCGGCGGCGACGGCGACGGCGTCAGTCGAGGAAAGAAAGGTAAAACGTCGCGCCGGAAAGGAGAAGAGAAAAACGAAACGTGGCCAACGGGCGCGTTTACGACGTCACGCAGGTTACATATGAGATTATTATCGGCTTTAGAGACTTTCGTGCGAATTGCCGCGCTGCTGCGCTCGCGCGACGCTGGTTAGCTTTCCATATCACGTTCGCCACTTTTGCGGCGCGCACACGCCTATTTTCTACCTACCACCCCCTCAGACCAGACCTCGTACCCCTCCGCACCACCGCGTTTTCCTTACCCTTCATATATCGCATCTCGACGATCGCTCGAGCTACCGACCGTTATCTTTTGTTTGCGGGAACCTTCGTGCCGTTCCGATCATCGTCATTATTCTTCGCGTACCCACGTGAAACGCACGGCGGAACAAGCGCGCGATGACGCCGCGTTTTGTACCTGTATGTACACATTCGCATTGTGTCGACAAAAGCGCGTCGTACTCGCGTGTCGTGTCACATCGCGCTCCAGTTCGCGAGGAACCGTCGAGTACCTTCGCGTCATTATCGTCGAGAACTAAACTCCCTTCTCCCATTCCTCCCTTCGAATCAAGGTGCTACGCGGGTCTATTTCCTCCCGAGGAAACCAGCAAGACTCGTGGTCTCAGATCCATACGTACATTTCCTTCAAGCCTGTCTCCTTTTTTTTTTATCCGATTCTTTCCTCAACGGACACACACACGCGCGCGTACACCAAAAACGCATTACGCGCTTAATGAGCGACTAACGGTAAATCGTTATGTACGCGCCCGTGCTCTGTATATAATACTGGACTTAGGGAGTCCCGTGTACACATTTTCCGCTTAGATAAGTCTAATATTAGCGTAGAGATATACATGTTTGCTTATAAGTTTTCGATGAACACAACCGGAGAGATCTCTCTTGCATCCTGCGATATCGCTAAGTAAACCGGAGTAACGACCGCCAACAAAGCTAAACGCGGTGCTGGGGCACATCGAGGCGGGCGATCGTTTCGACGACTTCCGAACTCGCGGCTGCGCGGGCTATCGGAGCCAGCATTGTGTTTTTTTATCCGCGTACATCCGACACATGCATGTTTTGGCATAGAAAAGCTTATAAGCGCGGTATCCATGAAATTTGCTTCGCCCGAAAATCAATTGGAGTTTCGACATATGCCGTTATACTTGATTTATCAACGTTAAATACGTCGATTACCGTTTCTTTTCTTTTTCTCTCACTATTGTTTGCTTTATTGTGTTTATATCGCTCGAGAGCTTTTTCGGACATGGAAATGGGCGTTTTCCGACTTCGTGATTATCTGTACATAGATAATAGCGTTATATTTTTATAAAAAAACGATAGAGAAGACTTACTGCTGAAAGCAACGGTATGATTTTAATCTATTGTTAGTATTTTGACTGCCTGCAGTCAAGTTGATTTAAAACTGGAATATCTGGATAAATGAACATTTTTCGGTGCAAACCGATATTTTTCGAACTTGCGCGAAAATAACAGAAATTCAATTTTATCACGCTTCATCGCTAATTTTACAAATATATACGTCCTCATTTAGCAATCGTCCATGAAAATATGATGCAGAACTCGCATTATAGCGGAAATAGCGTTCGTGTTAGCGTCCGTCCGACTTTTCCTCGGAGATCTCCACGTACATTTTATAATCAACGCGAAAACAAATGTTTACCGGTGCTCATTTAGCGCGGTTTGTCAAACGATCGACGTATCGAGATAGCACCCAGCCAGCCATACAGCACACACACACACGTAAGCTAATAAATGAGTAGTAGAGGAGGTCATGACGCCTTTCTATACACGGATTTCAGTTCCCTTAAATAATAGTTCGTCGCATCGGTGATAGTTTCATTTTTACTTTTAAGTTTGTACATAGACATTTATATCGTAATACCCACAGTATCCTCGGTAATATGTATAGCAGCGCGAGGATGCCCGATCGAGCCTCGGCGCGCGCGGCTGTTATTAACTTCTGTACAGAGATCGTCGCAATAGACGATTTACCTTTTGTACCTATAAGGCTCAACCTATGCGAGACGGTACGCGATAAGAGGAGGGACTCCGATAAGGAAAACCGCTGAAGAGATCTGAGAGATCTCGGAATAGCGGAGTTGTACCTAAGCGAGATCTAGGGAAACGTAAGAGAATAATACAATAATCGGTAATCTCTAATCCTCGAGTATGTACTTATTATGAGCTTCAACAAGTATTGAATAGTATTATGATGTAGTATTAAGGCCGAACACACAGGTTAGGGATAAAATAGAGAGACTTTCGGATCGACCGAACCAGCCGCGCGAAGTCGCGCGGATCGGCGAGGATTCCGCCGCGCCTCGAAAGTTTCGTCGCTCTCGGGGATTCTAGCGCACGACCTCCCGGAGGTCGCTCCTCGTCGATCCGCTCGGTCCACTCGTATCAACAAATCATTCTTAAATTCCTCCAGCCATCAACCGACGTCCCGGATCGTACTAGATCACAAACGCGTCTGGATATAGAGAGGAGTAAAGAAGAACGAGTGTCGAAAGAGTGTTATGTACGCGTGTGAGAGTGTGAGAGTGTGTGCGTGCGTGCGTGCGATTGCGTGATGACACGGATTGATACGTAAAAAATAGTAACCTACCTATCGTATATTTAAAGAAAGTTATAAAAAGAGTAAAAGCAAACGTAATATTACGATAGAATAGTAAAGTACACGAACTTTGGCTAAGAGCGCCTTCGTGCAATCCTTGCGGACCACGTCACGTCGACTGCGTGTTTGCGGAGGAAGGGTGGAAGGATGGGGGAGGGTGTATCGATCCTGGACGATGTGGTCCCCGTCGCAGAATGCGAAGAAGTGCGTGCCCGATGCGAGTGCACGAGGGCGCGCTTCGGGTTGGAGTAGGCGTGATCACGGAAAGCAATCTAAGTTGAACCTAAAGTTGTTAGATATATTATTTGTAAGATTACTGTATGTTGCGTGAATGCGATTGATGCGGCGGGATATCGCGAGCGGAACGATCGATCGGCGACGTAGAGAGAAGTTAGCCTGCCCGGCTATAATAGCGTGGCAAAGTATTTTCGCCGCTGTTCGTCGACACGTGAGCTCGAAACGCATTCGAACGAGAAAAAGAAAGAAAAAAAGTAAAACCTCAAACAACACTGCCTGCGAAATCCTAATCGATTATCCCGCAACGTCGACCGCGAGAAGGCGAGATAGACTATAGACTCGGTTTAATGTATGCGACACGAAACAATTTTGGGTGACAGTCCCTACTCGTGGTTACTCGTGTAAAGGAAAACGCAAAGGGGGGTGGGGAAGAGACGCCCTAACTGAATAATTAGTTACGACGACATACTACTATGATAGGAGGAAGGGAATGGAAGGATAGACCCGCGATAACGATTTATTAAAATATATCACTAGGACTAGCCGACGACTGTCTTAGGTTTCAAGTATCGGAAGCGTAGACTCGTTTCTCGAGTTGTGTAGCGAAGGAGGGGTGGAATGGAACGAGGAAGGATTTTGCTACACATGGCGCTGCGTGTATACCCTTTATTTTTTTTTTATCCCGAAGATTACGGAAGAGCGGGAATGATCCGTTGACCGATTTCCTCTTAATTTCGCCCGCCTTTCTTTCCGCTCTTGTGTCACCGGCGCGGCACCGGTTTTTCTCCCGTGGACCGTTTTTCTTTCCCCCTTTTTTTTTACGGATATATCTTGCCTTAAAGCAGAAAATTGGAGCAAACTCGCGCGCGCGTGCGAGATTAATAGTCCATTCGTATCGTGGAAAACTCATCCTTCATCATCGCCGTATTTTTCTTCGTTCTTTCGGGGTACGCTTCTTTTTTTGCATTCTGCTCGTTCCTGTCGACAGCAGAGCGATCAAGGGTGGAAATTAGGGCCGGGCGGTAGCGCGCCGTGAGTCGTTCTGAAGCTCGTAGATGCCGATATACCGCTTAGGGGGAATTCAATTTAGCCGCACGATGTAAGGGACGGATCCGGCACCGCTCGAGGTAACGCCACCGTACCTCGGCGTGCATCGGCGCATCGGCAGTTTTGTTTATGGAACGTAATCGTGAATATCGATCTTTCTCCAAGCGCCGCACCAAACGTTCTGTTTGTTCGCACCGGGCGATATGTCTATCGATTGAATCAATTCGGCCACACGCGTCACTCTGCGCTTGTCCAACGAAAATACTTTCGGATCAGGACAAAACTGACTTTTTGAAAAGCTGCGTAAGATACGTGGAAAATCATTTTTATCACAGGATAAAATCAAATTTTTTTTGTCTACATCTTGAGAAATTGTCTTGTAAATTGTCTTGTAAATTTCTGCATGTTTGGATTGAGAACGAAAGCGGAATCGCATTGAATATACTGACATAATTTTAATCTGCGTTGCACACGATCGCACGCGATAACACGATCGATCGATTCACGGTACGCGCCGCCTAAGAATTCAGACTTAATGACACGTATGTGCGATTATCATCGTTAATACACGACTGTAGGTAATTTTTAGTTCAAAGAATTTCGTACGATAAGAGACCCTTTTAGATATTCACCTATTACCTAAACCTAAACATCCAATCGCTATTTTTATCAAAAAAAAAAACATGTTAAAAATCTTTAATAGTTATCCATTGTTCACTATTGCTATAATAAAGTTTTGCTTTAATAAATTATTGATCTGTACGTTATTAATTTATACCTACGTCCCACATTTCACAAGACAGCAGAAGAAGCATTATAAATATAAGTTCCTCAAAGATAGATACTTGATACGAATAAAGTCTTTTTTATTGAAAAGATAAGCTACTTATAGACTTCTTTACTCGAGGAACTTCAAATAATGGAGGAAGGACATCAAGGAATGCGCCGGAAACCACAGGTAAGTCCAACTCCCATAGACAACTGATCACGGACGCTTTCCAGTTCGTTGACGCTCTCGTCGACGGAGGGAGGCATGAAATTTGCGACCTCGTGACGCGCAAAATGCAATCAGCGGACCGCGAGAAAAAGGATTGAACGTCGCCCGGAGCGACGACGAACATTTTGCTATAGCGAGTCTCGTTCGACCATCACCCGATCGATGAAACAACCTTAATGATGTATATTCTCCGTTTGAATAATTACGCTCGATTACGGACTTTACAGTTTACATATGTAGCGGCTATAGACTCCCAGCTGACGGACGTCATCGGCGTCCGACTTAGGGGAACGGGCGCTTGCGTCATACATCGTCTTGCGAGCGAGGTATTGTCGCGATGGGGGTTCTTGATCCGTTGTGACGTCATCGAAACGCGTTACTCTTTCTCGGACATACGCTTCTTCGAAACTTTGTGACGTGGACCGACTGGCTTCAAAGGTGCGCTTTGCAATGTTACCGCGCTTTACGCGGTCGGCTGCTACGAGAAAGGTCGTGGGAACGCAATGTGCATGCAATGTTCCCTTAAACGGGGTTGGATGTAAAGCCGCCCTGAAATCGACATGCCTCGTACCCAGTTGTTTGTAGTATTTAAAGAACGCTCGCGGTAGTTTATGTCACGATGTATATCTCCGCAACGTCGTCACAGATTTATGCAATTTTTATCTTTCACGCATATGGAGACGTACTTTCGCAAGGGTTTCAGTTCTCGCGGACGAAATCGAACGAAGTTCAACGATCGAAACAAACGACGAATTTCAGTTCTCGTCAATATTCTTAAAAGGAAAAAGAGTACCACGCGAAGGTACGAGCTGGAAAAATCGATTTGACTTAGATCGCATCTCGACTCCGAGATTCCTAAACTCACGCGAAATTCAATTTAAAAATCTAATCCGATAAAGCGATATATCGACACGTTACGCCGCTGCGCGCTGGAAACTTGCGCTCAATCCAGCGAGGTTTGACGGGTTGGTATTAAATCGACGCGAGTCTATTGATCTTAACTTTGTTAGCCATGCCAAACGCCGATGAAAGATATATACATCGCGTCGATACGGAGATTGAGTTCGACTATCGCTTGATGGTACGCGCGTGTTCCATAAGTGGTTACAATCAACGGTGCTTTGCCTGTCGCCATTGAATAAAACGTATTCCGCGGCTACTAGACCGGGGGCGGTGGACCATTGGCGGCACGTATCGATGATAACGAGCGATATCTGAGTGCGTAGCGTAAACTGCAAAACGCAAATAGCCGTCAAAGCGGCGCGTTTATGGTCGTCTTTATCGCTCCGCCTATGCGCGCCGACGTCCTTTGTGAATATTTCAATTTATCCGCGGTTGCACTATCCAAGTTTTAATGGAAATGCCCGATCCGCTTTAATTAACTATTACGAACTGTTCGAGCGCCGAATTGTTGGGCGCGGAGAGGGCCGAATGTTTATTCTTTCTGCGCATCCCACGCATCACGCGAATATTTGCACGTGCGGTATCCGCTAGTTTATATTCGTTTCATATTTGTGCCGCGGATATATATGCATGGGAGTTTATCCGCGAAGCTCTGTGCCGCTTAATTCACTTTACTCTTTCTGGAACGTTGTATGTGTGTATAATATATATGAATACAAAACTCGATCCTGTTTTGTTACAAACATTCACATTACAATGCTCTATGCTATCGCGCAATGTATACTCGCATTAGTACTTTTGATTTCCATTAATAATGCACATTTGTAAATGGGTTAAAATATTTGACGCAACACCCCGTGCTATACATAATCTATTAATTTCTACTTATATTGCGTTCGATATTTGTTGTAAAATAATGCACTGTGCAGAAACTATATTAATTAGTTCAGGGAATATTGTTATTTACGCTCTTTTGCTAATAATATATAACGCGGCAACACTCTTTCTCTCTCTGCAATTACAATAGAAGACATAAAAATACCTGCCATCCTGTCTTATATTGTCACTAAAAAAGCTGACCTGTAAAGAAAAAGTATTCTTATACCTGCTATTTTCGTGATATGGATTAAGATCGATTGGAGTGGCGTTAGGAACAAAAGTTATATTTGCCGTCTTTTTTTATCCGCTTAATTATCTGACGCGCATGAAAAAATTAAACCGGATAAGAAACGTTTACCTTGCCAGTCAATAATTAACCTAACTACCAGTAAAGACTTTTTATCGACCCTACTGGCTATCATTATTATAATCGTCATGACGATACGGTCATCGATTTTGGTCAGTTAATCGCCAAGACCATGGATTGTGATCCTTCTAAATAATAAATGATGAATGGATTTTGATGCTTATACATATAAGCATCATCCCCCACCCTCTATTTAAGCGAAAAAATTAGGATTCGAGACTAATGATCTGGCCTGCGATCCATTAATGCATCGCTTCCTCGTTTCATTTCCCATCGCGACATTCTCCACTAATGATTAGCGTATCATTGTCCGCTCGCCACTTTTGTTCTCCTCCCTGTGTTTCCATCACGCGCAATGATTCATGTATTGCTATCCTCCGCCTGCGCGTGAAGTAACCAATGCAAATCGGTTAGCCCCGACGATGCATTATCGAGATATCGACCTGTCGCGACCCGTATTTCCAGCATCACCGATATAATATTAAAAAATCTACTATTCGAAACCAGTCAGCCGCGCATCGATTTAACTTCACGATAGCCGCAATTCCCGTTTTAACCGTCATTTGTCTTGCGTTCGGGGTAACCGAATAGCGTAGTCCGTTGACATTTTTCGAATTCTAGCACGAGTTTTCGCTCCTCTTTCTGGCTTTACATTCAGCTCAGTGAGTCGCTTGTTAAATTTATGCGCCATTTTACCGTTTTATCTGCTCGCCAATGGATTTTCGCAAATAATAATATGAAAAATAAAAGGAACAAGAATAGAGAAAGATGACGTTGATACGACCATACCATTTTAATCACTTATATCCTTAATAATACCTTTTCAACTGTCTGAATTTTATAGCAGATTTACTAACTTTATTACAATCTTCAATTCTCCGCTTGTATAATAATTACCTCTCGCTTACAAGGTTGACCACCTTCTTCATCTCGTCGTTCGTTTTCGAATTTTTTTTACGCCAACCATCTCTTCCGCGCACTAGTGTTTTTTCTCGCTCTCCTCCGTTTTTTTTTCACTATATTGGATGGATGGCAAAATTTATAACGCCACCCTCGAGGTTCAAGGATCTGAGCGTTAAGGCTTACGGCTTCCACTATCCGGCAGTATACGACTCCACTACACTCAACGGCCTGATAATGCTTTACTTGCATTATGGAAAACAGTTCGTTAAAACCGTATTATCCGCTCCGCCGAGCGGCGGTACCGGCCAGAGGCTCAGCTGCGTGCTAGGAGCTGCCGTATATCGCGATATATCGCTTCTCGATGGTCTTCGCCGTAGCAAGTACTTCGAGAATTCATGAGGAAACTTGGTGGGTTCAAAGGGAGACCTTGGCGCTGTCAAGGGTTGCAATAGCGTGGGTGATATAGTTATCAAGAGCCTGGACTGTGACCTACTGCATACAATATCTCCTCGCTATCCTTCGTAGATCCTTTGATCTGAGGAAGGAACAAGGAGATGTCTAATATCAACTAATGTAATAATAGTAATCGGAGTTGAATGATCATTTTACGGAGTTAATTTGCAAAACAAAATTAATATTTGCCTATAAAAAATATCTAAGAAAGAAGTAGGATAAAAAGCTTAATCTTCGATATTCACGACGTCGTAATTACTTTCTGATGGTCTTCAGTAAAATTAATAATTCATTAATAATTCTAAAGTTCTTTTCTTTGCCGTAACATTTAATTAATGCTAGTAAAACGATATCATAAATAATTTATAGTGATTCCGTACGATATAATGATGCTATAACGATTTTTCTGGCGCGACGACCATTTTTCTTATTCATGAAGATGGATTCTCAATTCGAATTCGGCATTGTCTTCGACTTCCGTCCTTATCACCGTTCCCCAGTAGCTTCCCAAGAGATCGCAACGCGCGACGAAGGAATCTCCTAGTTCTTAAGGCTTTGGTCGAAGCCATCTCGATTTTCAACCGTGTCGTGTTACCACGCCCACTGACTGCACCGCATCTATGGTCTCATTGTGCTTTAAACAAAGCGACCGCCGTGAATTGTTCGGGATTTAATGAAAGAAGAATCCCCGCAGTCACCATCTACGTCTGTCCGCAGGGGTCCGGCGTCAAATCCTCCGACTGATTCCTGAATTTATCGGGAGGCCGCGAAATAGGCATGGAATCTGTTAAACGAACCGTGAACCGACACCCGAGAATTTTTCACAGAACAGAAGAAAATCGCTTCGTCGCGCCGTCGCGGCGTCGGGACGCTCATCGCGAATTCCGTTTGAGGGCCGATTTGCCGGGCGAAATTGCTTCATTTTTGGCTGTCTCTTAATTAACGGGAACGCACGAGAAAATTGTGGGAGATTCTATATTGGTAGAGGCATGTGATTAATACGTTACTATTTTAAGCAAAGCGAAAAACTGACAGGTACATTATGGACATTTAAATTTTAACTGACGCGCCGCGCCGGCGTGATCGCAGAAGTGTGCACTATACAAATGAAAGCTCTCGTTGTACGTCGTACTTGTTACCGCTATTTAATCCTGTCGTCAACAGGTATGTTTCGATACTCTACGAGGCTGCACAATGACACGTCCATAGCAGAAAAACAGCAGATAGATGGTTTGTGCAAATCAAGCTTC